TTAAAAAAATCTAAAATATCTAAAGCCGGACAGACAAACAGACAGAGTCACTTTCGCATTTTTAATATTAGTATAGATTGTAAAAATTAATAACTGATCTACAAAATTTAAATATACACGTTATAAACTCTAGGTTCCAAAAACCAGCATACCGGTAACGCGAGGTCAGTTAGTCAATTCTGCAAGGACCCGGCCAGTTTCGCCAAATACCAACTTCGTCGGAACAGATAGCGCTTAGCGTGGCAGTTTTTACTTTGACATTAGAGACATCCTCTATCTTTAGTCCCCATGTCATGACCCAGTCATGACCGCGGCTGCTGCAAACCATCCCTAACGTCGGGTAGTAGTTGTAATATTTTTTAACATTTCGCGTTTTAACCGTTTAAAATGTTTTATTAAATTATTATTAATACCTCCTTCATTGACCATGCGAAATTAGACTGAATAGCTTCTTGAATCAATATTATTTTTTACGTGATATTAGCACATTATAGATTTTTGTCAAATAAAAGAAGGGTTATAAAGGCACCCCCACGCTCCACACACTTATATCGTATTATAAAAAAGGACTATTCTTCGATAGAGGTAAATTTAAGATTATATTATTTAGTAGAACATTGTTTTACAGCAGGAAGAAATAAATATCAGTCACTTGAATAGAAAAAACATTTATTTTTGTCGAAAAAAAGGAAATATATACCATGAGGGCGCAATGCTATCGAGAGCTGTTTACGAACCAGGACAGATAGTGAACAGGATATCCGGTCACGGAATCCCGTCAACAGCCTTATCGCCAACTTAGGATTGTCACGAACAATATCAATTTGGCCAGATAAAGTATCCTTTGTTTAATAAATTTCGACTCTAGTGATATTACTTATAGAATGTTAACATAGAACATTAAAAGTTACTATTTCTTAAAGGTTAGATTTTTTTAACAATAGAATTGTTAAAAAGACTCTGCTGAATACAATATATTTAATAGTTGAACAGTTTAAAACGCGAAATATATAAATTACATTTTACCCACAGCCAGACGTTTCGGATGCTTTGTGCCTTGGTAACGGGGAGACTGTGTCTAAATAATATATGTCTCGTTTTAAACCGTTAAAGTGTTTCATTTAAATGAGTACTATTTGCGTAAACTACATACAGTATTTGTATATAATTTATTTTATTTTCATACACATGATTAGTTTTAAATGTTTTAAACACAAATGTTATGTGGGTTTTTCTTCATGGGCGGTGAAATCCAGCCATATTAGCTTTGGATATTCGCAAATCCACAAATCTGACCCGTAATATTTACACTTCACAGCTCACAGGGACGGACCTGAACGGAATTTGGATATTCGTGTCACCCATTTAATTTCCAGACATTGTCTATCGCGTTATTGAAAAGATATACCTTTTAGAAACATGTAGGAATCGAATCCACGACCCGTTTATTATTTGTTACCAACGAGTCCATTACGCAAATAACCAAAAGTACCCTTTAAGTAATTTAAAATATATATTATTCTAGGTTTAGACAGGCAGTAACAAAAGAAAATTAAAAGTCGATTATAAATTGAAAAAAAAAATACGACTCGGGCAGTATCCACAGCGTTCCTTGACAAGAGGGATACGTTTGTCTACCACATGCCAAATACGACAAACGTACGACCTTCAAACTGTGCGGCCGTTTTCAGCTATTTTGATACAGCAATTAAGACAAACTTTTGTTTATATAGATCCTTAGAAATCTATTGTATTTATCCGAGTCAAGGATATCGCTTTAATTGCTCGAATACAATCGAAAGAAGATCGGCAAACTTTGTTATGGGGCAAACTCGTGAGGTGAGAGGAAAGTTGTCCATTATTCACAACAATTAATCATACGGGTTTGTCTTTATAACAATAGCCTTCTGAATTTCGGAATTGTATTGTTGATAAGAGAAGAAGTCCCTTTGTCATAGATTCTCATAGCAATCTATTTTCGATTACGGATACATACAATTAGTTTAAATAAAACACTTTAACAGTTTAAAACGCGAGAAACATTAGTTAAAATCATTTTCAAATAAGTTTAACTAATATATCGCGTTTTAAACCGTTAAAGTGTTTTATTTAAATATTAGTATAGATTTATTTTTGCCCGTTCTCACCGTTTAGCTTCCATTGATATACCAATAGGTCTACAGTTATTTGTTGACATCTCGTTTCCCCCTGTGGGGCATGAAATCATGTTTCTGTGCCCTATCTAGCATAGCATAACAGTTTGTCGTTTCCCGGAAATTCGAATTTAGAATCGCACGTGCTTAGCGCAATCCTATCAGCTCCGAAGATCTTCGAATTGTCAAATCAAGTTGAGATCGTTGAATTCGCTTTTCATTTTGAAAATTAATTAGTCTCCAAATATTATAATCGAGTTGAATTTAATATTCTAACGAAAGCAATAACGCTGTTTAGAATGGACACTTTGTAATTGAAATTATGAGGATTGTTTTGATTGATAAAATAATCGTCTTACTCAAAGTGTTATTTTTTTTGACAGGCTCGTTAATGCTCGCTAATGATCAACGGGTCGCAGGTTCGCTGTTACTTATCAATTTAATATTTCAAAAACTTACTACTAAATCGATGGTTACAGTATCTAATTAAGCCGTAACTTAATTGCATTTCGGTTTCAGTTTGCGGTTCTCTAAATATCCAAAACTAAAATAGGACGACAACGCATCTTGCTTAGATGATATGTGGCTGGTGTATTTCACTTTTTTTAAATGAACGCTATGTTTGTCCGTCCTCCCATATTTTAAAACAATATTTGTAAGTTGATACATTTTTTAAAGACAGTGAATTAAGGACAAAATAAACGATAGAAGAATAGTATAATTCAATTTAATTACATCTTTGGTAAGTACAATGGCTTGGATGTCCCTGGCCCCAGGAGAATTGGTTCTTTGGTTCAAGATTTTTGGTGATTCACAATACAAAATTACAATTTGAAACCCATCTCTGTCTTACTTATAAAAGTTAATTACAAAGCTAAAACAATATTTTTTGTCCTTATCGCACTCGTGTCATTTTGGTTTTGATAAAAGAAGACAACACACATGTAACTAAGGGCATTTTATAAGTAAGACAAATATGTAATTCCAAATAAAGTAAGCGATTGAAGATGCTTTAAAAATAAATATAATTTAAATAAACTATATGAAAATTTAATCTAACCTATATGTTAAGTGGGAATTTCAATATTAGCGATTTTTTTATTCATATAAAACTACACACAATTCTATGTTGGCCTTTTTATCTCATAACTGCATTTGAAATTAAACATATTGTAGTATTGTAATACAATAATTTGTATTTAGGCCTTTATAATTATTTTCTTATTTGTATAGTTTAATCTTATTTTGCATTTAAAACGCCAACATTGTTTTGCCATATACATTATTTGTAGAGAACATTTTGGTAGAAAAAAAAAAGTAACTAAGTTGTTTACTATTTTAATAGATGTTTATATATTACATCCAAAGAGGCAAAAAATAGATAACAGCCTATTCTCAGGCCTAACGAATGTTTATACGAAATTTCATTAAATGCAGCTCAGTCGTATTGAAAGATTTCAACAAACACTGCCATATGATTATTTTATGTTATAGATACATAGATAAATAATTGAAGTGTTTAAATTAAATATCTTCATACGATGGTACCAGATAATACCGTATGAATCTAACAAACAAATCTTTTCAGATCTACTAGAAGACTGACGTTTGAGGTTCTATCGTATTTTAAACGGTTTTATTTAGCTCAACCCATACGGAATTTATTTGGGTCAAAATTAGAAATTGAAATTGAAGCACCTTCCCTTTCCCAGATTGATCTGAAATTTGGTACACACATTTAATTTAGATGACTATACAATATAATAAAATCAATAACATTATAAATCAAAGATGGCCGCCGGTACGAAATATGGGTATCAAATGAAAGGGCTACACTAGTAAAACACTATGATTATTATCAAAATTAAAATTTTTTGTAGTTTTCAGTGCTAAAAATAATAAAACCGTGTAACTTAAAAGTTTTTTTACCGATTTTTATTATATTTAAAACCATGTTATAAGTATACACTTACACGTTCTTTTTCAGTTTAATCATCTGTTCTGTTCAACTGTGTGGTTTAATATAGTATTTTGAAACCATCGACTACAAATCGTTATCTCTACTTATTGCCGACTTTTCCTACATTATATGATATTTTCAGTAATAAATACTTTTTTCCATAACATTCGTATGCTATTCGTATACAATGAAATAGAGGGATTATAAACACGGAATGTAATTAATTACTCCTTGGGCCCGATTAACATTATCAAACTTAATATTAGAGTCTGCGCACACGGGCCACTAAACGTCAACATTAAAATATTTCGCGTAATTGTAGTACAACTTATATTCAAAACAGATTTAATAACGCTGACAGCCACTAAACTTTTACAGAACCAAAAAAAGCAATAGAAATGTCACTACGACGTGACATTTCAATTGCTTTTTAAAGAATAAATTAACTCATATATTGTGCGTTTTAAACCGTCATAATTTTATTAAACTAAAGGACATATTTAATGGAACACTATCGGATTAAAAACGGAAAGACCCGTGACCACGGCTGCCGCGAAGCGTCCGGAACGTCAGGTTAGTATAATTTTGAAATGAGTTTAACTAATATATATCGCGTTTTAAACCGTTAAAAAGTGTGTTACTCGAGTAAACTACAATATTTTCTACAGGAAATATAGCGATGATGACGTTTTGTCATGAACCTTGTGCAGAAACACTTTGTAACATTATGTAATATACACAATTACTACCTTAATAGTATTTCACATCAATCTTATTTTATATTCATTGCTTCAACATTAACACATAACATTTAAGAATTATGAGTATTTGAGAGAATTACGACTACTTCACATTCAGTCATTGTATAAACATTCACGCTCTTTGTATCAAGACTTTCGTCTGCATCTGAAGAGATTCTTATAAGCCTTACGGTATTCGTTCGACATCACCACGTATATCACTGGATTGATACAGGAAGCTAAATACAAAAGGACGTAAGACGCTATGTTCGAAGCTGGAATGGGGTTTATCTCTCGCAGCATCTTCGTTATTGTTATTGGTAGATGACAGATGCAAAACGATATCATTATAGCGATTATCATTGTTCCCAGCCGTCTGTCTTTCCGTGTGGGAAGCGAGAGCTTTAACATCGCCATAGACTTTCTTAATGCTGTCCTGCGGAGTCTGTTATCTTTCCTCCTTATTTCATCCCTACTTTCAACTTGGAACGACATTGCTTTCGCGTTGCCGTTTCTAGCGATTTCTGAACTTTGCGATTCAGCATTGTCACTGCTGCTGACTTCCGGACCGGAAACCTTCACTGACATCGAGTCGGAAGAAACGACAGACGAGAGCTCGTCGCAAGACGGCATTTCTTGTGCGTTTCTATTTAAAGGCCTGGAGTTCTTTGATGTCTTTCTGACGATAAAGAATATCCGTGTATAGCACACGATTATTGCAATACAAGGAAGTACGAAGGCGCTAATAAAAAGTATCTTTTTCGGTGTCCGGCCGTTCTTGTCCGGTATGATGGAACAGGAACCGATGTTTACGTCGAGCCCGAAGTTGCCCCATTTATTGAACCACGTCGCTATTAAAAAGCCGAACGATACAGCCCATATTGTGATCAGCATCAGTGCTATGTTCCGGGTTTTGTACATCCTAAAAATAAAATTATAGGTTAATAATATAATTAGTTAAAAACACTTAAGACTCTCCTGAAAGAAATATTTAGTTTAAAAATCGAAAATAAATTGATAAATTTTACGTCTCGGGCACGACATAGACCGGCACGGTCAGCGTTCCGTGTTGTTGCTCTAACTAATTGAGTTACCGAGTCCTACACCTAATCGTCGAATTTTTTCAACCTATTAATACATGCACGTCTCGCGCAATGTAATGTCAACCTTAACACTTGCGGATTAAGATGATATGTGAAAAATATTAAAGTTTTCAAATATTTAGTTCCACTTGTTAAGCCTCAAAAAACTGAACAAATAAATAATGAAAAGAGTTTCAAGAAAGATAGCATATTAAAGAGAACTCTTTTAAATAAAACATTTTAACGATTTTAAACGCGATGTACATTAGTTAAACTTATTTTAACTACGGCCCGACGTTTCGGATGATTGGCAGCAGCCGTAGTCACGGGGAGACTAAAGATGGAGGATGCCTCTGACGTCAAAGTAAAAATTTCTACGCTAGCGCCATCTGTTCCTTTTAGTTGGTATTTGGCGAACAGAACTCTTCTAATTCATAGAAACGTACTTCAAATCATATTCATTGGTAATCATGAACAGGTCAATATGTACACGGAATTAATTAGCTCTGAATAAATCAATTACAGGAAGGGAATAAGCAAATTAGAATGTATGAATATCACTGCTAATTATAACGTTGCTAATAAGTCTTGCACTTACAATTACATTTACTAATATATTGACTACATTAACGATATGCTATTTATTAATGTGTTTGACTTATTATCTTTCTTAGAAGACTTATTTATCACATTGAGAAGATGTCATTAACGACGAATGAATGGTTAAAGATTCAAGAGTAAACAATAGCTGTAAGTTATTAATGTTTTGGATTTAGGCTATCGTTATTATCTGTTAAAAACGATCGTTAACTCTACGAGCTATTATGACGTCATATTCATCACCGAAATTGTGAAACGCGTTGTCTAGCATTATGTTATTCACGAGAGTTCCTGGGTTCGAATCCGGGAAACGATAATTTAAAGTCACAGATATCTGACCGATTACTGCCTGTTAATTAATCAAACACTAAATTTTCCCACATGGGGAAAAGGGATTTGAATTACTATGACGTCATACCACGATTTATACTGTACTGTAATGCAATACTCGATTTTGTACCTTAAAATTACATATAAAAATCATATACTATTTAAATAAAACACTTTAACGGTTTGAAACGCGAAATGCATTAGTTATACTTATTGAGATTTTTTTTTAACTACGACCCGCTTCTGATGCTTTGGAGCAGCCGTGGTCACGGGGAGAGTCGTTTGAAACCGTTTCAGCGTTTTATTAAAATGCGTGCTACTTGCGTTACTTACAGGCAGTATTTCATATGTTATTTTCAAACATAGGTAAAAATAATATAAGAAAAATATGTCATATATAAAGTACCCACTCGTGAAATGGCGCACACGCATAGCACCGGAAGGTAATAATTGAAGGAACCGTGAAACGCATGCTAATTCAGTTTAAGAATTTATGAACATCAAACACAAATCAGGTAGTTCAATTATTTGACAATAGATACTTTTTACCTTCATGGTGGTCTCTGATTTAAAAAAAGAACTTTAAGATACTTTAATATTTTTTTTTAATTGTAAAGCACGTATCTTAGAAGAAGACATGATATTTTTTACACGAAAGAGAATCGCGAAGGATGCAAAAATTATAAATCAAGAAACTATAATTTTACATACTTTAACTAAAAAGTACTTACTTAGGATACAGCCTAGGATGTGCGATGATCACATATCTATTGATTGTGATAGCTGTCACAGTGAACAGCGAAGCAGCAACTAATGCATATCTCATCAAAGGAAACAATCTGCAAAGCACCCGTCCGTGTATCCACGATCGGTGAATGAAGGTGGATGCAGCGAGCGGTAAGTTGAAACAGCAGAACAGCAGGTCGGAACACGAGAGATTCATTATGAATATTGCCGTTGCGTTCCGTACCTGAAAAACGTAGTTATTTAAGACAAATAAGTAAGAAGAAATGACAAAGTGGCTAAAGTGTGGTAAATCCTTGTTAAGATATAACTTATGTAGTGAAATAAAGATATGATAGGTTTTTAGGTTCTTATTTAGTTTAATTGTTTCGTTAATTTTTATATAAATGTTTATTTTTAGCCTGCCTGTAATTAGTTTAAACTTTAAGCCGTATTTACTATCAACATAAACATAAGACACAAAAATCGAATGCCCTATAATTATGTTCTGAGAAAAGTTTTGATTAGTTAATATATGTAACTTAAGAATTTTGAACCCTAGATCGCCTTCTATTAAAAAAATAGATCTTATATATTGATGATATTTTTAGTGTAACAAGTAACTGTGTTCAAACACATTCTTGTCTCAAAGTGTTATTCCAAAAGGAATTTAATCTAAGACATTTTAAAACAAAAACAGTGTCATAATTAACTAACAAAAACGGGCGATGATTAAAATACCTCGTTAAGACAAATTCAATATTTTCCTTATTCACGCCTAAGAATAATAATGTGACGGCAGTATATTAAAATGTGATAACAAATTTACGGTACAGTAATCCCATTTAGCGAAGTAGTCATGTTTGATAACGATAAGATAAAGACACGCCCTCTTACACACCTGAATAGTAAAACTAAATATATATATATTTTTTTTTATTGCAACAAAGCTTCTATTTCTACCTTCTGTCGTTTACAATATATCTGAGCTTAGTACAGATAACTTTTTCAGTTGTCAGGGAATAATTTTTTTGACAAAAAATATACCGTATTTTTCATGTAACTTCATCACAAATATATATATTGAGATAAAATAGTTTAACGGTTTAACGCGATATATAGATACACGATAGTCTTCCCGTGACCTCTGAAGCATCCGAAACGTCGAGCCGTAGTTAAAATATTTTTTAAATGGGTTTAACTCATATATATCGCGTTTTAAACCGTTCAACTGTTTTATTTAAATGCTACTCGCTTAAACTACAGACAGTATTTATATATATTTTTATACTATATTTTTAAAATTGCCAAATATACTTTTAATCTTTTTTTTTCGTTTTGCTTTAACAAAGATACTATACGTATATATATTCGTGTATATATATATATATATAAATTCCACGCGCATATATCAAACAAATCATTTCATTGAATTGAGATTTGAGTAATAAAGTTACCTTGCATATTGTTTTGTCTCCGGGGTCAAGGGTCTGTTATCAACTATAATTAAATCTCAGAATAGATTGCTGTCTCTCCTAATAGTCATAATTTATGTTGTTTAGTTTTACAGTTTCAATTTCGTTTGATGAAATATATGAGTATTTTGAAGTTGATTTATGTATGGTTATTTTTTTGTATAATTAATGTAGTTATTTTAAATTCAAGATATTTATAGCTTTAATTTTATCATATTAAGATCACAGCTTAGGTTGTTGAAATTTATATATATTTTTTATTTTTATTTCTTTACACTTTATTGCACAAAAAATGAACAAAATATAAACTTATATACTAAACATATGGAGTGCAATGGGCGGCCGTATCGCTAACGAGCGATCTCTTCCAGGCAACCCAGAATGAAAAGGAAAAAACTCACAGGTAACTCTAAAATTAGTTCTCTTAAATTCAATTTCTAACAAAATACAAAAATTTTGAACGATACGATTTACTCCTCTGTAGGTTAAATGTGTTGCATTCGGTTAATCGCGAGCGGTCCTAGATTCGAATACCGTGGAAACAATAGATTATTTCGGTCTGGCAGAGACCGAGAGGCACAGAGACTGATAAACTGCTTTCCAATAAGTGAAAACTGATCAGGGTAACGGACACGGAAACGTGTTTGTTTTTTATTTTTCCCACACGGTGGGAAAAATAAAAATTTGCGCTCCTCAAATTGACGGTTAAGTTTATTATTGATGACTAACATAACAACGGTTCGATGTATCTACAATGAACACTGTTTGATAGTAAAATAAATATGTTTTGAATCACTTGGTGAAACCTTGGACGTCATGTAAATCCTTTCCACTTATATTATGACAAATACTCGCCCACGCAAAATTAGGTTTGGAATGTATTTTTTTGTGAGTTTGTCATCTTTGAGAATAAACTGGTGATCATTATTTGACTTAGATCATAATACGATTTAATTGGGTAAATATATATTTATAGTGCGTGAAAAATAAACCCACTATTGTGTAAATAACACTTATTTTATCGAGGAGGTTGATCCCATGAGATCACGGCTGTAACAAAGCATATAAAACGTCGGGCCGTAATCAAACCAACTAAACCAGTTTATTGACACATTTCGCGTTTTAAACCGTTAAAAGTGTTCTACTGTTAATATTATTTTTATTGTGAAGAACAGAAGAAAAAATGTTAAAACGTTTTTATTACCAAATTTTCTAATTCCGCATATTCAAAGGTCGACAGCTTATCTTCTTGCGATGCAATAAGTTTAAAATGTTTATATTCATATTTAAAAGTTCAAAATAATGTGAATCTCAGTATTAATGTATTGATGCAGTATAATTTATAACTTAACATTAACATTTTTGTTTAAATAACTTTAAATGTCTATGTTCTTATGTTTGTGCAATAAAGAGTTTATTTTTATTATTATAATGGCAACGTGCTTGTTTTATAAACCATATAATATATTTTAATGTAGATTTTCAAACACTCTGTATATACGATGAGAAACAAAAGTTCAGAAACAACACTGAAATGTTTGTTGACGCAATTACACTGACGCCTGAGACTGCATGACGCCAAGACAATAGTCATCGAATTCTTATAAACGACACTCATTTTTATTGTTTGTTGAAATAAAACCTCAACTTTTTTAAGCACAGGAAGCTTAATATGTAACGTTAACGTTCATTATTCAGTTAAACAAAGTTTTAAATTGTGAGTTTGTAATTTAAGTAACTGTAATTCATATTATATTAAGAGTTTCAAAGTTTTGAGCTGTAGAATTAGAAAATTAAATGTCCTTGTCTGTTTTGTTTAAGCTATAATTTAATTAATCGATATAATATTAGGTTACCATATTATTCAGAATGTAATAAAACATTTAATACACGTTAACTATCACGTAAACACGTTGAATATACGACATTTACCAGGAAAATTATATGATAGATATTGAAGTCGATTTTAATTATTTTCTATGTATGAATAAGTGTATTATACTATGTAAAATTGAACACACTTTAACGGTGTAAAACGCGAAATATATATGTTACTTACTAACAGCCATAGTTAAAATAAATTGTAACTAAGTATATACATATTTGCGTTTTAATCCGTTAAAAAGTGTTTTATTTAAATGTGTACTACTCTCGTAAACTATAGACATACGGTAAGACTTACCTTTTCATATCTCGCCAGCGCAATGATGGTGATGAGGTTCCCAGGAATACCTATAGCCATGAAGATGAAGCAGCAGACAGTGGCAAACCGCAGCAGCCCCTCAGGATAATCCTTATACAAATGCACTTCATCCAACTTCCACTCCGACAGATTGACAGCACTCTCGTTCCCAAACAAAACACTCCCTATTCCATTTTCAGCCATTTTAATATAACACTTCGCACGTCATTCGGCCACAGTTATTCAATTACAAATGAGTTTATAAACATCAGCGCGTTGATTCTTTCCTAGAATGTTTCCTTTATGACTCAGTTTTGGATGAATCGGGTTTGCCCGTTTGCGAGCATTGATTTTGACAATTATCACACGTTATTGCCCACTATCATCACTACTTTCACTTACAGAAAATATAAATTTAAGGAATGTTACTTACTCTACGCGTATTATTGGTATAAGAATATAAAAGAGAGTAAATGCGCCAAACTAGGAACAATTAGATTGTAACATCGTAATTATACTGGGACAACAATTTCTCATATCTTATCATAATCGAGATTTAAATAAATAACACAATGGGTAGTTACTATTTTACAATACTATTTGATTATATCTTCAATATCGTAGTGTATCCATTCATCATCATTTAGCACAATCACGGACGGCTCGCGATTACAATTTAATAAAAACACTCTCACATAAATACTACGATACTTGTAAACATTGAAATGTAATAGGGCGTTGTTTCAGAGCGTCAACTTTGTAACGCTTTCAGCGCGTTTTGGGAAAGTTACGGCGGGCGTTTCTCGGAGACGCCGTCGCCAGGCGAGCGTCACGCCCTTCGTCTGCACATTAACAGGTTCTTATAAGCTTGCCGGTATTCACTTGACATCACCACGTATATTATAGGGTTGATACACGTCGTCAGATATATGAGTATGTAGCCCGCTATGTTCGCGGCGGGGTGTGACGTAAACTCTCTGAATATCTTCGTCAAGGTTATCGGGAGGTAACAGACCCAGAAGGATAGCATAATCGCCATTATCATTTTGAGCAGTTTTCTATCTTTTGGGGTCAGCCGAGGGGGTCTTAGAGGTGCAGGAGATCGTTTGAGAACGACGGCTGCTTGACGGAGACGTCTAGCTGTTTCTCCACCGCTCGGAGTTCGAGGTTTGGTGTCTAATGCGCTTTCATCGTCATGACCATCTAAAGTATCTACTCCTGATGAAGAAGACCGTTCTGGGCCAGGTGTTGGTGGACAATGAAGGACAGGTGGAGCTAGCAGGGCCTTTCTAGGAATACTGCTGTGATTAACTCCGTTCTCGGGCCCGGGCGAGCGTTCCAAGGCCGTTGATGCGGAACCGACAGCCGAGTCTTCTAAGCCCGGCCGTGGTCTTCCTTTAAAAGGAGCTCTCGAACGTCTCGCAGCCTCCCTTACGATGCAAAATATTCTCGCGTAGCAGATAACAATAGCCAAACACGGCAACATGAAGGCACCGACGAAAAGAAATTCTTTCGGTGAGCGATTGTTCCGATCTGGTAGAATTGAACAAGATCCAATAGTTGGATCTAGGCCGAATCGACCCCATTTTTCAAGCCACGTCGCTATCAGTGCTCCGAATGAAAACACCCACGTGCCAGCCACCATCACGGCCAAATAATGTCGTTTATATAATCTGTAAAATAAGTAGAAATGTAATTAAAAGTATACATTTCAATAAGTCATTTCTTTTATTAGACTTAAGCTTTGCTACTAATGAGTTTATTTTGAGATCCAATTAAATAAGGTTCATTTAATTTGAGTTTATCATCGCATTTTCTCTCGTAATCTTAATATATCGTGACATTTCCTATTAGGAAGTGTCGCTTATCAAAGATGTTGCTCGGCTTTTCCCAGGTACACAGTAAGCAAAATATTTATTTGTACAAAAAAATATTTAATCACTTTCGTCGAAAAGAAATGTTTCCTTTTTATTATAATGTATAGGATTATCTGTGTTAGTATTATTGGTTTTAAGTATAATTAGACGGGCTCGACAGTGTAATGGTAACAATGTTAGGCTAATAATAACGGGTCGTGGATTCTATACCCACATTTTTCCAATAATTTTTATTTTTTTCAAAACATATTTATCTTCATTTGGAAATCAGGATGTTAAATGGAATATCAAAATTCCGTCTGAATCACGAACTATCGTCCAGAAATGTAAAAGCCATCAGTTTAATCGGTCTGTGGATTTCAGAATATCCAAAGCCAAACTAGGTCGGCGGGTCTAGTTTGAATGTTATATGGCTGAGCTATTTCACTAATCAAGTAAACCCCAAGCTGGTCTGGCCCCCTCTATCATAAAAAAGGTATAACTTACTTGGGATAAAGTCTAGGATGCGAGATCATCACATATCTATTGATTGTGATGGCGAGTACAGTGAAGAGAGACACAGCCACCAGCGCGTATCTGGCCAATGGAAACATACGGCACAAGATCCGACCGTGCGCCCATGAACGTTGCCAGAACGTCGACGCTGCTAGAGGCAGGTTGAAGCAGCAAAACAGAAGGTCAGAGCAGGATAGGTTCATTATAAACACAGCTGTCGCGTTGCGCACCTGAAACAAACAAGATATATTTAAATGCTCTATGTATGTGCGTGTATTGAAAATGAATAGAATTATTTGGTGCGATTGATACGGTTAAGATGTCTACGGTTAAGAGACTATAAATACAATCAAGGGGCTATGCTGAGTCGCTTATATAAACCTACATATACCTAAAAAAACTAAATTTTTCATTTATGTATTTGTTTTTAATTTAATTTTTTGTGTCGGTACTATTGTACTTTTAATGTCAAGCGTGGGGCACCACTAAATATCGGCGTTGTGCCTTCGTCTAGGCACAATTTTATTGTATTTTTGTGTTATTTTATTGTATTCTTGTATGTGGAAAAACGATTTGAGTCGAATGAAAATAAGGATATGGAAAATTGTATTTAACTAAATCACTATAAAATGTTTAAAATAGGAACTTTATAATCCTATTAATTATCAACTAATACCCGATATTTAGTTACTTTACTGTGGTTAGGGAATAAAGATGGTTGATGTCTGCTACGCTAGCGACATCTCTACTCATACAAATGGAAAGTATCTAAAGTTATATTCAATAATATTGTGTTACTTTAAGTAGTAAAAATCTGAATAATACATTTTTACCGTAATTTTTAAGATAATATTTTAGTTATATTGTATCCACCCGTGACCACGCTTGCTGCAAAACTAAAACTCGAAACGTCCGCGTCTATCGAGCCAAAGTTAAATTAAAAGCGTTAAAAGTGTTTTATTAAAAAAAAATTGTTTAATCCAATATAAATCTGATAGAGTTGAAAAGTGTTTTATTGTTACAAAGTAAAGCATTCTACTAACGTGAAGTAATACCATATCCGTATACTATTTATATTACACATTTATTAAACCAGGTTTATGTTTCCTCGGGCATGTAAACTATAAAAATAGGTTTACATTCAGATAAATATAACTCAAAGATTACGTGAACTCTGTTCGTTTTCTACGTTGAGATAACTAATGATGTACTGTTATCGGCATCCTTAAATTTATTATTCATGATTGTCGATAGAACACTGACCTAGGGTAACAAATGATTAAACATGATTGTAAGTGTATAGTAATATGAACTATAAGAACTCGCGTATCTACAGTGGAGTAAGTTTGCCTTTATTTTATTATTAACTAGCGACCCGCCCGGCTTCGCTTGGGTGCAATGCTCATATTATATACACAACAGAAAAACTGTGAACGTTGCATATAAAAACCTTCATTGTGAATCACTCTATCTGTTAAAAAACCAGTAGTAAAATCCATCGCATAGTTTGAAAAATTTAAGCGTACATAGGGAAAGAAAAAGAGACTTGTTTTATACTATGTAGTGATAATATTTTATTTAGATTTTTATATAAGCGCCTTATCTGTCTTACATTTCGTTCATCTAATGGTAGGAATATGTAATTTAAATAAAACACTTTAACGGTTTAAAACGGTTTAAAACGTTTTTACGTTTCGGATGCTTAGCAGCAGCCGTGGTCACGGAGAGAAGTTTAACTAATATATCGCGTTTTAAACCGTTAAAGTGTTTTATTTAAATGTGTACTACTCGCGTAAACTATAGACAGTATATGTAATTTAATCAATGGGTTGTGGGTTCGATCTCAACCCGGTCCAATATGTTTCTTATAATTGTTCTAAAACATGTTGGACTTCGCTTGGAAATCTGGATAGTAAATGGTGGTAGTAATATTGAAATTACGGGCGGGTCACGAACCACCGTCCGCAGATGAAAAGCCGTGAAGTTTAATCGCGTTCTGGTTTCAGTCTGTGTATTTACGAACTCCCAAAGTCAAAATAGGCCGGTAGCACATAGTTTAGGTGTTAAATGGCTGGTACTTCCATCAAGTGAACTTTATGCTTGTCTATCATAAAAGGAATTCTAACGCACGAGCAATATTAAAAAAAACATCAAGCAAGACTCAAAAACCTTCATTAAAAAAACAAATTTATAACCGATTAATTAACTGTGTGAAAACATTGTCGGATCAAGAGATTTTTAACACGATTATATACAGACGGAGATATGGCCTATGTTTTTTTTCCTGGCTGGAATCAATTTCCGGGAAAACAGCATACCATCAGCGCGTTATTAATCCTCTTATCTTTTTTTTTCATCTCCAATAGGGATGTTGTTTGATATTTTTGAGAAACTGTTTTAAATACTGTCTGTAGTCTACGTGAGTAACATTTGAATTAAGAAAAACACGATATTTATTAGTTAAACTTAAATGAAAATTATTTTTGAAACGTCGGACCGTAAAATAATTTTCAAATAAATCTAACTGATATATATCGCGTTGTAAATAAATAAAACTTTAAAGTGTTTTAAATTTTAGATAGATACTATATTTAACACCCAATATTAATATTTTTTAAACCTTTGAAAAGCCTTAAATTATGTTATTAAAATGCCCGGAAATTACAGTGACCTAATGACGTCACGGTTTCTTGAGATCGAGTAATCTGTTAGTAAGGTTAACGAAAAAATTTAAGTTTTATGTTTTCAAGTGCTGCGCTGTACCTCGATGTGACAGCAATACAAAGATAAAACATGAAAAGTTATTTATTTGTGTTCCTCGTTTGGTAAAATATTTTTAAATATAATTAAAAATAATATGAGGCTGTATGGAGTAGGACTCAGAGTAGCCTATAGAATTATGTTAACAATTTTCGGTCACTGTGCTCTTGTAGCTGAACATTTTAGACTATGAACATATAAATGACTCAAGTCATAAAATTGCAGTTAGGCTACTGTGCTTCTAGCGGCCTCATATAATATATCTAGAAAAATAATTTTGCTTAACTAGACAAAATTAAGGAAAACTATTGCAATAATCCATTTTTCTATAGCAGACATTAGCAATTTGTATTCATATTATATTAATTTTGATTTAAAACAAGAAATCTTTAGTAAGAATGTGCTAAAAGGCATTAAAAACTAGTAATTAATAAGTTACACGAATTTATTCATAGCGAAACAGTATTATAAAAACGTTAGTCAAACGACACCAGATCAATTTTATTAAACCGTCCTTATTCAATAAAGGGTGCGGCACAGTCACTAAATATTCAAACAGTGTCCCAGTAGTAAAAGGGCGCTTGATTTGACCGCAACACTTTCGCAAAAGTTCGGCATCGTTCATTTAGAAGGAAGAAGTAGAAATAAATTCGATTAATATTTGCTACGTTCTTATATTGTCAAGTTTATGTTAAAAATGTGACATTATTGATTTAAGTAAATTAATTGTATTACTGTTTACTAGCTGTGCCCGCGACTTCGTCCGCGTGGAATAGTGACTTGGGGTAGAATTTCTAAATATTTAGGCTGTGTATTAATTTATGTAAGGGTGCATTTAAGGCAGCCAATCTATGTTGTAAGTGCTACTTTGCCGCAACACTCTCACCTCACATCACTCCAACTCTCCAAATGAGAGTGCATTTCTACACTAACTCCCACTCTCACTCTTACTCACACTACCACTGCCACTCCTATTCCCAAAAATCCAAAGAAGAAAGTTTCATTGTTCTAGCTTAAAAAAACACAAATTTCCATACAAACTTTTATCCCCTTTTTCAACCCCTGTCAACCCTTTTTTGGCATTAAAAAGCAGCAATCTACCAATCGGTAGAGCAATCTCGATAGCTCTTTACTAGGGTCGGACGATTTGGGTGCTTTCAGCAGCCGTGAACACAAGGCGATGATGGTGTCTCTAATGTCAAAGTCAGCCTGGTGATGATAATGGCGCAAGCGTAGCATAGCCATCTTCAGTCCCCACGTGACCATTAATACCAGGGCAAGCATCCGAACGTGCCCTTCATTAATATGAATTAAAAATAAGCTAAATTATATAATTCGCGTTTTAAACTGACAAAAGTGTTACATTTTATTGCGTACTTGCGTAAATGCGGAAATTAACTTCTTTACATATAGGTTATTTGATCTATTCGTGAACACGCGAACGTAAAAGCAGTCGTACTGATTTCATTTATCTTCTGTGTTACCTCATATTTACTCGTGCGTAAGAGACATATTTTCAAAGGAAGGGTGCGCAATATTAGAATTCAGTGGCACTTGGCACCGTCAAGCGAACATGTGCTGTCCATATTTTTACTTCTTTTATCAGTTACAAGCTGCCCTGGCAAAGTTTCTTTTGCCATATAAAGTACTAGCAGTGTCAGCGACTTCGTCTGCGGGGAATAGTCATTATAGGATCAAGTTAATGGCCGAATGAACCATTTATTATTGCAAACAACCTCCTTAACTTTATAAATTCTAGCTGTTACTCACGACGTCGTCCGCGTCCCGTAGTTTCTGCGAGATAATCTCAAAAGATATATATATATATATATATATATATACACTGTTGTGGATACTTTTTAGATAAATTAAAGAAAAATCATTCTTTCTTACACGTTTTTTGGTTTCATGAACCACTTTCAGGACAGAAATTCTGAAAGATGAATAATTTTCCCCGTTCTTTCTACATTTCTCTTTATATCTTCACTCCTTATGATCACAGCCTGATGTGAGAGGCTAAAGCCTTCATCGATAAATGGTCTAACCAACACAAAAATAATTTTCCAATACAAACCTGTATTTCCAGAGATTGGCGCGTATAGATCCAAGATATAGAAATACTTTTATATTTATAATCTGACAGTATATAAAACCTCTCACAACGTTATTTGAGAGATCCTGGGTTGGAATCTTATTGAATGGTGCTTCCGTAAAGCACCTATAATAAACTCATCGACTGTAAATAGACCCATATTTACTTTGCTTCAAAGATCTTGCATATTTCATTTTTCCCTGAAGAATTTCTCTCATTTTGCTTGTTGATATTAAAGATACGTTGTAATAGAGGTTATGTTAAGTTTTTTTTTGTTTTAGTTAAGGTTTAAAAGCCTACAATTCGGCATCTTACCTTGGAGGCCATGGAGGAGAGCCCAACGAAATTGAATAAGTTTTAATTCTTATTTTTAGTTGTTTGGGGGCATTATATTAGGTTAGGTAGTATATTGTATGTTGAAGAGTTGAGAGTTTCTGGTTTCTGGATTAAGTCAAGGCGCAGATGTCTGATCAACTACTTGCTTGTAAATAAAACTGAACAGTGAAACAGACACAGAAATGTGTTCGTCCCAAGGATGGAGTTCATTTGATACCTGGGGTATCAAATGAAGCCTGACCTATTTTGACTGAAACCAATTGAAACCGAAACGGGATTAAACTTCACGAATTATTCATCTGTGGACGGTGGTTCGTGATACGGACGAATTTAATAACCAGATTTTCAGACCAAGTCCACCATGTTAGATAAAGGAAGAATAAAGTTCATTTTCAAAGATATTACTCGGGAGAGAGAAGGTGGTTTGATATGGTATATAAGTTGTATTTTTTTGTAGTAGTGTTAGCAAATAAGTATAGAATTGAACACGCATTTTACAGAACTACGCGTACTTTTAACAGATAACACACAAACGCGGAAGTTAGTGAAAATTTAAAGATGACAAGTCTGGGTTCATATTTATTCACTTATTTTGGATTTAATATTATTTAGAGAAAGCTGATGTAATAAATACGTCCTCTTTAAAATAAAAGCTTCAAATTTAATATTTTTGCCATCGGTTGAAAATAAAAAGGCGATATTATTCACAATTAAGAATGGTGTAAATAAAAAAAATATATATTGAAAAAATCTAACTATATGACATATTGTTGTTAATATTGAAAAACGAACAATATTCCACAATGTCCTAATGTAATGTAACTTTGATCAAATTTATTACTATTATTAGTCCAATTATCTGTTGTTTTGTGAGAGAATGTGTTTCCACAGATCCGGTTATGCAAGCGGTCCCGTTATCTATGTAGTAAATTATATTTCGGATTCTATGTTTGTCTCTGACCATTATCTTATATATGAATAGCAAACAATAGACTTTATCTCGCTTGTTCTTCCGTATTTCATAAATTGTCCTCCTGTATATGAGCATTACTATTCCATTTTAGTATAATTAAATAATATAAACTTACGGGTACCCGATTATAAGACTCGTACTTAAATATTGAAGATTAAAAGATCGAGAAACTATTTGTTTTTTTTTAATTTTTTTTTATCCTGCCTAAATAATCTATATAATAAACCTTAACCTAGATAACCTTAGGAGTACAAGGCTTACAATAAGTTGTTTTAAGTACTATATATGTTTTTTTTTTAATTTTTTAAATACTCACGGTAGTAGATAAAACCTTAAAAAAAGAAAATGAATGACAATCAACATAATGCAACATGTTTTTCTCTTAACGCAATTAGTGATACGATTAACTATTATCTGTAGATTACGCGACTAGTACACATATTCTTAAAACACTTTAACGGTTTAAAACTCAAAATATATTTAAAATATATATGTCTCCCCGTGACCGCGGCTGCTGGTCTCGTCTGTACTCTGTAGTTAAAATAATTTTCAAATAACTTTAACTAATATCTATTAAGTTTAAAACCGTTAAAGTGTTGAATTAAATGCGCATATGACTTTTATATCAAACAGACGTTAAGGCAAAAACAAACTTAGATTAAACGAAGAGAATGGGTGTTTACGAGCGGCTACACGTGTTCAACGATTCCGGAAGAAGTTAGTCCCTTTTTAAAATGACGCTGGTTTATTCATGCAATTTCAAAAGAGCTCGCACGAAATGGATATTCCGTATATAGAAATGCTTTGCAGTGTTCCTATTATTGCTTTCTAAGAAGCCTAAGCTGAAAATACCATGTATTTCTTAAATAAACATAATGTAAGGGTAGGTGGAATTGATTATGAAATATTAATATATCTAAGCAATAAAATATATTGCTTAGTATAAGTTATTAAGCAGTATGTCTTTCTTCTACATGCTTGGATATTTGAGCATTATTTTGATAAACTTTATCGAGATAAATTGATCTAGAAATAGTTTTATGAAAATCCATATCTGTCACGTTTAGCGGCCAAATAATTAATATGTAGAACCATATTTGTCGTGCAATTTGAAAAAATAACGATACCCGCAACATGGCGACCAAGGAGGTAACTAAAAAAAGGTTTAATATAAATTTCGAATTGGCACATAGAACGCCGTTTCAACTCGTATATAATTGTATCTCACTACAACTAAATTTCATTTTAATATCATCGTTGTTTCATAACAAATTAGGGTATTTTTACAGTCTTAAAGTGATGTAAGTGCGTACGTTTATACAGAGAATGATAGTCAAACATGGGATTAATTTGAAAGATCGTAAAATAACTCTAAAGGTTCATATTCGTACTACCCCTAATGTTTACATTTTCCGGGGTATAGCCTGTTTAAATAATAAAAAATATAAATTTATGAAGTAAGATGTTGGGTCCAGTGGATATCAAACCCACGACATCTCATTAGCCATATTTTACTACGAGCCCATCGAAACTAAACACTTTAACGGTTTAAAACGCGATATATCAGTTCAACTTATTTGAAAATGATTTTTAACTTCGGCCCGACGTTTCGGACGCTTTGCAACAGCCGTGGTCACGGGGAGACTCTATTCTATTTGATCAAACATGTTTCATTGAACTACGACGACAACTAGACAGAAATATATTTCTAGAAAAAGAACACTTACAAAGAGATATTGTAGTGTATTTATAGATTTGCAGGAAGAGTAATCTAAAATGATCTAACTGAGAAAGCAAAGAAAATATAAGAATAAGAGCATTCTAAAGTTACCTTCTTACAACGCGCCAAAGCGATGATCGTGATAAAATTCCCGGGGATTCCCACGAGCATGAACAATATGCAGCATACTGATGCGAAACGCAACAGCCCCTCCGGATAGTCCTTAAACAATTCAACAGAAGCAAGTTCCTCGTCCGTGCTGTACTCGTCCAAGCCGATGACGCTCCAATTGTGCCCGTCTACCTCGCTGGCCTGCGTACTCCTCTGGATACTTGGAAACAGATCGCCCATTTTAACAGATCGCACATTTTCTCGCGGCGATCACCATGTGTAGTGGCTTAGGTCGTGACACGCGCGGGCTTCGACCACGACTGATAAGAGGCCCAGGACTCCGGCTGCGAGAGTCTCCGATAAGGCATCATGCTATCAGACAGCTGCTCAGGAAGCTCTATCGGCTTATTGTTTCATGCTCGACCTGCGGAGATAATGAGTTTCGTTAACAAATTGCGTTCTGATTTATTCAGTAATTTCGGACTTAATATTATTTATCGAACGCTGATGTAACAAATACTTCCTCTTTAATAAAAGCTTTAATTCGTTCATTAAATTTTAATAACTTGCTATTCCTTGAAGACGAAAACTGGATAAAAAATTTTACTGACTCTGTAGCTCATTTCGTTGGAGCAAGAGCACGGATCGCTGGCGATGCCGGTTCAAACCTGAGCCGAATTTTTTTTTCAATTTATATTCGCTTTTTAATCTATATAGCCATCACGTGCAATAACATGTAAAAAATATTAAAGTTTTTAAATTTGATTTAATGTAAAATACATAAAGTATATATTAGAAGAATTATCCGTTACTTCAACTATACCCTATTATAATGTAATTTGTAGATATAATTAAATTTGACGTATGTATTCCTTGTATTCTTTGTGATTTAAATACTGTCTATAGTTTACGCGAGTAGTACACATTTAAATAAAACACTTTAACGGTTTAAAACGCGATGTATTAGTTAAACGTCACGTCTCCCCGTGACCACGGCTGCTGCAAAGCATCCGAAAAGTCGGGCCGAAGTTAAAAATCATTTTCAAATCGAGTTTATCTAATATATTGCTTTTTAAACCGTTAAAGTGTTTTATTTAAATTCTTTGTGATTTGTTAAATTAATGTAACGGGTTTTGCTAGTTTTAATTAATTACTTTTTTTGAATAGGTGTACATACGTCTACTGTTACGGTAATATTGACGATTATTAATATAGGACAACTAAGTACGTATGTATGTTCGTGTAAAAGATTTAGTTCAAGAGAAATAAGCGCCTGATCTATGATATTGACAGAATTGCTGAGTAATTAAGGAGTGAAGCCAAAGTTGGACTAATTTGAACTTTCTAATTAAACGAACTTTGTTGCTAATTAGTCAGTTCCTACCAAGATTAACAACGGATTCGTGTTAACATCTTTCAATTAAACCACTTAGCGAGGGCTATCATCAAAAATACTACATTATTATTTGATGTATGCATATTTGTTACTTTTTAAAGTCCAAAGAATTGACTGATTTTGATAAAATCTAGTCAAATACGGTCTGTAGTTGATGATTCGGATGCTTTGCAGCAGCCCTGGTCATGGAAGGGGTCCTCCCCGTGTATGTATGTAATAATTTATAAGTTAAACTTATATACGGCGCGTTTTAAGCCTTTAAAATGTTTTTATTTAAAAATCTAGTCATTTCTTTTTTTATGACAGTGAAGCATGGTGTCCACTTAGAATACCCCATTCATATAGTTAAAATGTACTGTAGTATTGCGGATTAGGACATTCGGTTATCTACAAACTGAAGCAGAAATATCAATTCTACTTCAAAGCATTTCCATATAGTTTGAAATTAGGTTTTTACTAAAAATGATTACGAACTTTGCAAAGAGAATGAACGGAATTATCTTAAGTTTTTATTTAAAGACTTCAGGAAAAATGCTTCCTATCAAAATAAAAGATAGGTCTTTGTATGTATTCCCACTTTGCAATTGAATGATATCTCTCGAGGTTTATAACCTTTCTAAACATTAAATGATACTAAACTATGAAATAATTGAAAATACAAAGTAAATATATTAACTTAAAAGTAAAAAATATATATTTTCAGTTTTTATTTATAACGCTTTTTACGCTGACTATACTTAGCATTGTTCGCTTAAATAATACCGTATTTCATACTAAATAAGGAATATACACAGTTTCGTATGGACACTTAATACACTCTCTAAGAAACTCGTTACAATTTCGGAAACTAATTCGAAAACATAAAAGTTCCATTAAAAATCTATGAACTCCGAAACATTTAACTTTGTAAAGGAATATTAGGCAACGTCAAAGGTACACTTACCGAGAAAAGTGATTTATCATTATTTTGTCAAAGTTCAAAGTCTTCACCCTATTCCGCTTTATGCGAAAAAGGAATATGTTCTGAGCTGATATGAAGTTGAATAATATTTTTAAAGGCACGGATGAAAAAAATATTTTTGTACAGGCTCGGTGGGCTAATGTTAGCACTATGACTAGCAGCATCGGGTCCAACGTGGTATCATTACGTTTTTCATTAGATACTGTCTGTAGTTTACGCGAGTAGTACGCATTTAAATGAAACACTTTAACGGCTTAAAACGCGATATATTTAGTTAAACTTGTTTTAAACCGTTAAAGTATTTCATTTAAATAAGTTTTTTTTTGGCTGGTTCATAAGTTCATAAGTCCTGTGGTGTTGATAACTAATGAAGTCAAATAAATAAATAAAAAAATAATAACATATAACTTTCCGGAAACATGCTGGACTTCGTCTGGCAACATAAAATATAAAAAAAATATGAATATTGATTCTTCGTACTTGTCACGGACCACTATCTACCGATGAAAAAGCCGTGAAGTAAAATCGCGTTTCGGCTTCCGTCTTGGGAGTTTACGTATATCTAAAGCCAAAATAGGTCGACAGCGTATATGGTTGAGATGTTATATAGCTGGAATATTTCACCTTTCATCAAGCTTGGGCTTTGGGCTTGTCTCTTCTACTGTAAAAATACTTTATTTTATTATTTACTTAATTATTTTACATCATCGGGAATCAAACACCGGTCGATTGTCGCGTTCAAACTAGCGCCTCTAGCTGTGTCACAGTGAGTCATATGTGCTGTGGTATTAACGAATGCAGTGGGTTTGAGTCCCGTCTTGTTCTTATGTGTCATACACGATAGACCATAAATCTCCTGTAAGGCTCATGTAAAGAAGAAAATTATATTGTTCGAGGGTAGCATTGCAATTAACTATTGTCACTCAGTCTAGATAAAACATTCTTCATTCCCGGACAGATTTCAATCTTAATAATGATCTTTTGCGGTTTAATTATCCCTGCGTAACAGTGGCGCTCGTAAACATGGAAAATTAAAGATTTTAATGGGAATTCATGAATATTCTGATTAAAATCAGGCGAAGAGTGGAGTGAAGCTTCTGAATGGACCATTAAACGTTATGTCTATGTTTGAGATGTAGCTAGTAATTGTTTCGTTGTCTTAATAGGTCTTAGGTTCGATGTTCGGGGAAAGATAATGAAATCGATGAATGATATCAAACTGTTGAATGTACAAATAAATCCGCTCCATGCATCATTGTGGGCTGGAACTAAATATCTTAGCAATCATTAGTCTTTTTGTTAAATTAATAGGAAATTACTTAGTTTTATACTGATTTTTACGAGTTGTAAGTACGAGAGTACTACTTCTGTCAGTGTAAATAAAGTAAATATCAAAGACTTGGAGTGGTATATAGCTAATGAGAGCCACCTTTCCAAACCTTGATTCAGTTTCTACCTAAATTATGCAGAACTATATAAATTGAAAAAAAATACGCCGGCAGGAATCGAACCGGCATCCACAGCGTTTCGTGCTGTTGCTCTAAACGATTGCTACCGTGACCTACAAATCATCGTCGATTTTTTTTTCAAAATCAATAAATACGAGTGCATGCACCTCTCGCGCTGAATATGCCGCTATGTAGAACTAGTCAACTCACTCTTATGGATTAAATAACTTTTTAGAAAATTAATCATCGTCAAAACACTAAGAGGATCTGCAAATTGCTTATCTTAGCTATTACACTGCTTAAGTAAACTTAAAACTTGGAATCTATCAGCCAGAATTATTATGAATTTCAATTTAAGTTTGTAGCATCCCTTTGTGAATTATTGTTAATCTCATGGTCTGTTGATCGATCTAAGTTTTCGATGGCCATATATATTTCGTGATAATCGTATTTAGAATTTCATATCTATACAAGTAAGGTGGAGAGTTTGTTTGTGTGAACGCGTTAATATCAGGCAGTGTTTGTTCGAATTGGAATATTATTAAAAGCAACACTGTTACACCAGCAATCGAATCCAGGACCACGAGTGTTGAAAAAAATACAAAGCAACACGTTTTAACGATTGAGTCAATTGTATAATAACGAATGTTACGCATATTATTTGGCATACGTAGGTAAAATGTAAATTGTCAAATGACGTCACACGACGCCATGATTCCGAAATGGCACTCCCAATTAAGGACGAAAAAGGCAACCTGGGGTGTTAAGTAGAGCCTGAATAAGCAGAAACATCATCTCTCTGTCTTACGTGCCGGCCCGATTCTTTTTTGGGTCGTGATTCGGTGTTAATGAAATATTGTTTACCGACGAGTGCTTTATTAGGTTGTAAGAGATGTATTCCGTTTGGTCTGAATGTTGACGTCATCCGCATAATTTTTACTTTGTTATCAGTAAAATTAATTCCTTACGAAACATAAATATATACAAACATTCTCGGGGCCTGTATCTCATAACAAATGAAGCTAATACTTTGTCCATATACATATCTATAGTCTATACTAATATTATACAGCTGAAGAGTTTGTTTCATCGCGCTAATCTCAGGAACTCCTGCTTCGGATTGTTTTTTTTTTGTGTTGTATGGAACATTTATCCGCCTCTGTAGCTAAATGGATAAGCGTATTGCGGAGCATTGTGTTAAGCACGAGAGGTCCGGGGTTCGAATTCCAGGGAAACAAAATGTTGTTTCGGTTAGGAAGATAAATTTGCGACAATGTAATACTAGTCTATCCTTAATATTAACTCGCAAAGAACGACGGGATCGACTTCGTGGGTAAAAGCTATAATTTAAAAATTGGTAAAATAAATTTGGACGCCCTAAATAACTTTTCCTTGCGGACGAAGTCGTGGACACAGATAGTTTTTGATCAATTTA